ACCTCAGGCACCATCACCTCATATATGTCCTGAAATAAAGACATCACCATTGTTAAGCCCAGCATTGCACATATCTGCTCAAAAGAAACAAATTGGCCTCACAAGGCAGACTTCACTTGTTAGTGAATCCATGAGAATGAGTCACATGACTGGACAGTCATATAATGTGAACACTGCTCCAGCTAATTCAGTCAAAGCAACACTAGATATGACTTTAAAGACAGCCAATAAGCATAAGGAGACAGTGATCACTGAGACTTCAGCAACTGAAGCAGTACCCCTTGTAAGAAGCAGACGGGCATCAGTCACAGAAATTAATACACATTCTGTTGGTTTGCCTTTGCTTGTAGAGCCATCAGCACCAGAGGTGAATTTTATCCTACAAAGGCATCAATCATTACCCCGGCTCTTATGTAGCGAATCCAGGTTTTTCCAGGAAGGTCCTGTTTTACGCAGCCAAAACCATATTTGCAACAGAACTGCAGGTTTGCCAGTGCATCCATCTCATTATCATCAAACAGCAACTGCTCCAGCAAATGCAATAAAAGCTACATTAGATATGTCTGCTAAATCAACTACTCATTCGACTGTGGTTACTGAGGCAATTCAAAAAGAAGCACTGCCACTTGTGAGAGCGAGATCAACATCAATCCCAGATTGCAATGAAGAGCTTGTCGGATTGCCTTTGCTTATTGAGCCATCAGTGCAAGAGAAAAGTCTTATCCCACAAAGGCGTCAATCATTACCACATGTCTCTTCTAACGACTCCAAGTTTTTCCAAGAAGACCCTGGTTTACCCTGCCAAAATCGTCCTTATATCAGAACTGCAAGTTTGCCAGTGCAACTTACTCATTGTCATCAAATAACAACTGCTCCAGCAAATGCGATTAAAGCTACATTAGATATGTCTGCAAAATCAACAGCTAGTTCAGGTGTGGTGACTGAGGTGGTTCAAAAGAAAGCATTGCCACTTGTGAGAGCAAGATCAACATCAATCTCAGATGGCAATGAGGAGGTTGTTGGTATGTCTTTGATTGTGGACGCTCCAACACAACAGCGGAAAAATCTTCTCATGAGTTGTGAATCACAATCGAATGTTAGACAAAGTGATTCTTTACAACATGTGGATGTGAAAACATCCCAGTTAAATCCAGCCTTAAGCCGACAAACACCTAGTTGGCAAGCAGCTTCTGCTCCAGCCAGTGCAGTTAAAACAATTGTGGATATGTCTCCAAAGCCGATTGAAAAAATCAAAGAGGAAAAGCAAGAGTTATCTCCAATGCCATTGATGAAAAGAAAAACATCTGCTACTGTGATTGCCACAGGGACATCTGCTGGTTTGCCTTTAATTGTAACACCCTCTAATTCCCAAGAAAATCTTATGTCAGAGTCCTCATCTCCATCACAAGTGCAGGAAACACTGAAAGAAAAGAATAGTGGTACTTTAAGCCAGCATTCCCTTGAAGTCAGAAGCATCTCTGCTAAAGTGGGTTGCTTTCAAAGCAAAGGTCCTACATTACAAATAGCATGGCAATCATCTCTTTTAGGACAGCCCAACAGAATACCCACAGCACCAGCTAATGCAATCAAGGACATAGTTGACATGTCTCCAAAACTCTTGTCAGATCCAACAGAGGTTTGTGGAGAAGTTTTGACTGAAGCTGGTGTGCTGTCGCTTGTAAAGACAAGACCAACTACTGATGCTGAAGTATTAAAAGGGCTAGCTGGTGTACCTTTACTGGTCGAACCTCCTTTGCTTCTTAAACTAGTTCGTGGGCAAAGCAAATTGCCTGATAAAATGTCATCTTTCTCTTTGAAATCAACTATAGCTCAAGGAACAAAAGGACCTTCGGCACCAGCTAACACAATTAAATCCACTATTGATATGTCTGTGGGCCGATCAACCTCTATGGTGTCTGAGGGATCAGCAGGAGAAATGCTTCCAAGTGGAGTAATGTCTCTTGTCAAAGATAAAGCAGCCAACAACAAATATTCAAGAAAAGACTCTGTAGGAATGCCATTAATAGTTGATTCTTTTTCATGTTCTGAGCAGGTCTCTCAAAAAACATCACCTTTTATATCATTACTAGAGGAAAAAGGTAATCCACACCAAATGCAATTATTGAATGGACATCATACTACAGAACCTTTGTTGCGCCAACAGATCTCTACCTATCACCGAAATGGAATCCTCTCAATCTCAAAGACACAAACTGTAGAATCTCAGCCCTTAAGCAAACCGATAGATTTCTCTGTCATTGTTTCACCTACAAAGCGCAACTGCTCCTCTGTTCTGCAAAATGGCCATCCTGTGGATTTTACTAGAAGTGAAGAAGAGAAATCAAGGATTGGAAGCAGATATCCAAAAAATGGTAGTAGCACTTTTAAGAAATCCTATGTTGGGGCTGTTGACCTGACTGCTGACATAATGATTGACGTAAATAGAAACAAAAGTGGTGATGATGTCAAAGATCTTTCATCTCCAAGGACTACTAGCATATCCACTCAGAACACCTCAGCATGTACAGCAGTTATATATGCCACCACAACAAATAAGAAAGATTCTTATCAACAGATATTGGCCCCCCAATCAAAGAATATAGCTAAACCTCAAGCATCATACCCATCTTTTCAGTCCAGTGTGCCTACACAAATGGCAGATATATCCGATCAGATGAAAAGTCATTTGCACAGAACTGATTTGCATATCTCTAAACCTTCTGTACAACTAAAGAAAGAACAACGTGAACCTGCTGAACCAACGAACACACATCTTTTGAATAAGGAGCTTCCATTTGCAAGCAATACGAGTGTTGATCCACATGGCTCTCATCTTTCTACACAAATCAGTAATTCATCTAAAATAGTGACCTTCAGTGACCTGCCCCCAAAATCTATGCCTCACATAAATTGCTCAGAGCATAAAACTTATCAGCAAGTAGCTCAAAGATCTATCATCAGTAGACAGGTGGTAACACACCAGTCAATTTCCTTGGCCTTAACTGAGAATGAAAGGACTGAACCATTTTTTACTTCAGCTGCTGCTGCTTCAACTACAGTCTCAAGACCCAAAGGTATTATCAAACAATCAACAGTGGAAAGCTTTGGAGAAGATTGCACCTCTCAGAGTGGGACAGCTACTTTTATTGGAAAGCCTTTAGCATTAGACAATACACTTGTTCAAACTTCAGTTGCTCCAGTTATATCAGTTCAAGATGTACCCATACCTGACCATGGTTTGTCACCTAATATTGTGTCTACTGCTGCAAGCCTGCCAGTGTCGACTTCTGCCATTGTACTAGAATCAGTAATTGTTGTACCAACAAGTACAACAAACTCTCAAGTTTCCATGGCATGTTCAAGACCACTTTCAACAAGTCCTGCTGTCACAACAAGTGTTATGGATAGTTGTGAAGTCTCAAATTCAAGCCCAACCACAAAGATGTCAGTCAAAGGTTTGATGTCATTGTTCAATGAAGCAAGCTCACAGCCAGCATCAGCTATCTCACAAAGAAGTGATAAAATGATACCGTCAATTGTCAAACCGTCACAAAATGTTTGTATTCAGTTTAACCAAGGAATGACAACATCTCCAAATCGGACAGTGACGAAAACAGCAGGCATGTCGGTGATCAGTGGAACCATACCATCTATTGTTAAAGCACATGCATCACCATCCTTAGTTGATCCACCCACAGTGCATCTTCCAAGTCCAGCAAGTACTACACCACCTTCTGTAATAAGACCACTCTTTGAACTTAATGAAGTTTCACCAGTTCCAGCTCAAGTTTTTCCCACAGACCAGCCTTTAACAAAAAGTGCACTCATACAACATAACAAAACAACCGTTCCTCAGACTGAGGCATCTGCTCAAAGCTTGGCTCCAACATTTAGTGGCACAATTTCTCAGCCAATGAATGTTTGTATTATTCCAGCAGAGACACAGTCTCAAGAAAATATTTCTGGGAGCATCCCCTTTCCTGAAGTTTCAGTCACAAGTGATAAATCCACGAGCCCTGCTACATCTTCCTGTGTGTCTACAGTTACTCCCTTAACTCTTAAAACACAATTGAAAGAGATACCATTTATGGTTATGTCTTGCAACCAGACTGATGCAGGCCAACCATATGAAATGTCAACTCAACATCATTCTGCTACAGTCAGTGGATGTGATGCCCAGCATATGTCAGTTCAAGCCACTTCACAGTTCTCTGTTCCTCAAACAGCAGCAGTGTCTCAGTCTGTTTCAACACAAGATACTGTGGTGGACAGTGTTAGTCAGTTAGATGTTACTCCCCAGCAGCTTGTTTTGTCTAAGATGATGTCTATTGAAGAGACACCATCTTTCATTCAAGTTTCACCCACTGAGCTAGAGGGTCGATCATTAGTCATTTCTGGTTTGGGCCCAAGAAAGATGCTTATACCTCAGATCATGATTTCAGAGGCTAGCAGTCCTGAAGACTGTCCTAGTGAGGAAGATACAGTGACAGATGGACCTGATACAATAGAGAAAGATGATCCTATCATTGACAACACTCCTATGGAAAGCACTGATGGTTCTCAAGACATTTTAGCTATCAAGGTTGTGGAATCTCAAGAAACTGACAGTCAGAGCATAAAAATGAATCTCTCTAATATGGTGGCATCCCTAGAGGCTCTAACAGAGGTTTCAGAGATTAAACATGATAACTCTATTGATGTACTCACCAATTCTGATGTATTTTCAGCACTGTTAATACCAAGCACTGTTGAACAAAATGAGAGTATCTGCCCTGAGGCCAGCTCTTCTGAAAAAACATATCCTGATGATGATTACAAGAAGGGTGGCCATGTGTCTAATCTAGAAGATTGTGCAAACACAGAATCAGCAATGTGTAAAGAGAAAATAAAAGATCACGAGGTATCCTCTAAAGTAATGTCTGACAAATTGAGTATCATTTCTGGACCAGTGTCCTCAGGAACAGAAAAGCTACCATCAGAAGACACTCTAAAAACCTCTAAAGTAATGTCTGACAAACTAAGTATTACTTCTGGACCAGTGTCTTCAGAAACAGAAAACGTACGATCAGAAGACACTCTAAAAACCTCTAAAGTAATGTCTGACGAACTGAGTATCACTTCTGGACCAGTGTCCTCAAGAACAGAAAACGTACGATCAGAAGACACCCTAAAAACCTCTAAAGTAATGTCTGACAAACTGAGTATAACTTCTGGACCAGTGTCCTCAGGAACAGAAAACGTACCATCAGAAGACACCCTAAAAACCTCAAAAGTAATGTCTGACGAACTGAGTATCACTTCTGGACCAGTGTCCTCAAGAACAGAAAATGTACCATTAGAAGACACCCTAAAAACATCTAAAGTAATGTCTGATGAAGTGTCATCAGGAGCAGAAAAAGTAGACACTCTAAAAACCTTCATATCAAAATCTGAACCAAGTACAAAGGAAGTGAAAGGGCAGAGTTCAGGGCCTGCAAAAGCACATGAAGAGGCAACACCCACCAGCACTGAACCAGTTTCTTCTTCCACAGCTGTTGAAGAGCAATCTGGCAAAGGCATATTCTCACTTTTTGGCACTTCATCTTCCGGTCAAACTCAGCCTCAGAGTGGACAGTCCATACTAGGAGGGATACTCCCTGGGTCATCATCCTCTAAAGAAATACCAGGTACAGGATTATTCTCAATGTTTGGAAGTTCTGCTCCTCAAGCAACCCAAACACCATCTGCACCTAAAGAGCCACCTGGAAAGGGCTTATTTTCTATATTTGGTGGATCTGTTGCTCAGCCACAACCTGACCAGCAAGGTTCACCTATGTCTGGCCCAAAGGATCTGCCTGTAGGACCAAGACTACCACACATGCCTACTCCAAGGATGGCTCCAGGACCTGGACCACCAGGACATGTTCCAAGAACTACATCAGGACCTGCACCAAGGGGTCCAACTCCAAGAGGGCCCACTTCCAAAGAACCACTGGGCAAAGGACTATTTTCTGTGTTCGGTGGGACTTCTCAGCCGACAGCACCAACAGGGGGAACTGCTGCCAAAACACCTGGATCTGGATCCTCAATACTTGGAGGTATTTTGCCTGGTTCTGGGGTCAAGGAAAACAATGGCCCTGGTTTATTTTCCATGTTTGGTGGAGGTAGTTCTCAATCCCAAGCACCAACTGATGCTGCTGCAGCCGAATCTACCAATAAGGAATCAACAGGAAAAGGATTGTTTTCCATGTTTGGTGGGCCAAGTCCCATGGCAAGCTCTGAACCAGAAAGTCTCTTTAAAGTACCTTCTGTGTTCTCATCAGATAAAACAAAATCTACTGGATTCAGCCTCATGTCTTTTGTGGATAAGAAATCTGATTCAAAACCTGCAGATGCATCCACTGTAAGGGCGGATTCTCTCACATTCTCTCACTCTCACAATATAACACCCCCACCTTTAACTGATGCAATTACAGATGAAAATACATCAGTTGGGGCTAAAGAAGAGGTTCCTGCAGAGATCACCTTTGAACCTCCTGGCAAGAAGGATGAGAAACTGAGTGATGAAAAGAAGGAAGAGTCTACGAATGATATAGGGAGGACTGATGAAATGCACTCTGCCATAAATGATGATGCAAAGTCTGAAATGGTGACACTAATAAAAGAGACTGAAGAGGTTGCACCTCTGACAGAGAAACAAACTGAAAAGGAAGAAACTTCAACGGTTGACAAAGTACATGAGGAACAAACCATTAATGAGAAACTTAATGAGGAGCTGGACATGAAAAATGACAAAGAAACTATAGCCACTAGTTCAGAGAAAACTGATTATGTGACACCAATAAACGAGACGGAAGAGATTGTACCTCTGGCCGAGGAGCAGTCTAAAAATGAAGAAATTTCTGTGGTTGACAAAATATATGAGGAACAAACCAATAATGAGCAACTTAAAAATGAGGAAGTGGATGTGGAAAATGACAAAGAAACTGTAGCCACTGGTCCAGATTCTGACAAAGGTTTAAACCAACATGTGCTTGAAAAATCATCAGAGCAAGAGAGAGTTTTAGAGCCTTTTGAGCTTGAGAAACCATCAGAGGTCTCGTTAGAATCTGAGAAAACTGTAGAGCCTGAAAAATCATCTGAATCACAAGACCCAGTGCAGAAAAACCTGGAATCAGAAGAATGTGTGGAACTGGAAAACTCTCAGGAAACTAACAAACCTCAGGATTCTGAGAAACCCTCAGAAAATGAGAAAGCTCTCACTGAAGGAACAGGGAAAGTTGATGATGTACAAATAGCAGACAAAATTTCAGTTGAATCTGAAAAAGACATTGTATTGACAATTTCTGACAGCCAGCAAGCAGACCTTAAGGAAAAACCAGATGAAATCACAAAGTCACAAGAATGTGACAAAACATTAATAGTGGCAACTACGCAACCATCTTTAGATCCTCAGTTGATTTCTTCTGTTCAGCAGCATCAACAGCCCAAACGAGACACTGTTGTACCTCAGCCAGGAAAAGTGGGTTTTCCTGCTCAGCCAAGACCAAGAATGGCAGGACCTTTTTGTCAGCCCAGACCTGGAATGCCTGAACCAAGAGGACCTAGACCTGCCATTTCTAATCAACCAAGACCAAGAATGCCTGGATCTCAAAGACCCCCAGAGCCTGCTGCATTTTCTGGGTTTATGTCAATGTTTTCTGGCCCAAGTGCTCCTAGCAAGCCAGCGACTTCTAGTTTCTTCTCAGTGCCACAGACCTCTTTCTTCAAGTCATCACCACCTTCTGAACCAGCACAACCACAACAGCAGAAGAGCTCATTTTTTAATCTTCCAACCAGCCTGCCAACGGACTCCCTCACAGATGATCTGTTCGGATTGTTTAAAGGTACAGAAGCAGCAAAATCAGATGAAACCAAGCTGTCAGAGAAAGGTCATGATGGAACACAAGACTCTAAAGAGCAAATGAGCCTCACTGCTAGTAAGTCAAGTGCAGTCTCTGAACCTGAGTCAACTGTGGCAAGCACTGAATTAGTAAATAAAGAACAACTGAAGCAAGGTGATTCAGAATCATTAAAGCTTGTTGAAGAGCAAGAGGTCAAATCTCCAGATGAAACAAAATATGAAAGCAAGGAAATCACTGAGACGTCTGAAACTATTCACACACAGACATCTGAATCGGGATTACCCTCAAAGGTACCACCAGGAGACAAAGAAACCCCACCATCAACACCCAAAGCAGTAGTTGAAGATAAACTACCAACCTCACCACCTTTGAAAGGTATCTTTGCTTTACCTGGTTTGTCAACATCCTCTCTCGGTGGTTTGATGTCTGGTGCAGCAGAGACAGCCAAACCTTTCAGCTCTTTTTTTGGCTCTTCCACTCCTGCCCCTTCAGTCAGCACCAACCCTTCACGGCCACAAGCAGAGAGCAGTGGTCTGCTTTCCGGTTTTAAAGGTTTGTCTGCGGGTCTCTTCCAAGAAGAGAAGTCGACTTCTGCAACGGAAGAGACAATGTCTTCAATGTTTGGAAGGAAAATTGGCTTCCCATGGCAAAGTTCACCCCCTCAGACCCCTCCTGCCAACCAGTCTAAACACCCAGACTTGAATCCTGAAGAAAATGATGAACCAGAGGCTGATAAATTGTCACCTGAATCAGAGGTCACAGGAAGTGCAGATTCCAGTGATGCAGAAGGACCAAGTGACAACTCTTCACATAAGCAGCCAAACTTTGACACAAGACCAGAGAGTCCGACAGCATTTAAACAAGGGGCTTCCTGTCTGGAAGTAGAACATGTGGACAAATCCCAAATTTCCCAAGATTGCATAGACAAGAACAAGGACCCTCCTGATACAGATTCCAGTGCAGAAAAGCCATCAGAGAGCCTTCAACAGCAAACCTTTGATAAAAGGCTAGTAAAATCATAATAAATGGCTATTCTAAGGCCATTTATTATGGTTTGTTGTGAACATTACCCTCCATCTTTCAAATATATATTAATTTGTTATTAATTATTATTCATTTTATTATTTATTCCTGTTATTGATCATTTTATTTTGGTTTCTTACAGTCTGTCAAGACAATACATAAACCAAATAACATTACAAGAACATTGCTTGCTCCTTTAATTAAGAATCATTTAAATAACCACTTAATCCATTAATCCTTTAAACTGAACTTACATTTTAAACATTAGAAATCACTGCTACTTATCTAGTGTTCTAATAAATTAAAATTAGCACTTTCCCCAGTATGTTTATTCAACTTTTTCCCTAAGATTCTTCATACTGCATTACTCTAATGACCTAATTGACTTCTTACCCAAACGGATTTTATTTAGTTTGAGACTAAGTTCAATCTGTTTTGGAAGTGACTCCCGCTTGTTTATTCAGTTCCTTAAAAAATACCACATTGAGCCAGTCAGTCTTAAACCTGTGCAGTTATTCTAGAATTCGTTTGATAATTGCATCTTTGTGTGTTCCTTCGCCAGCCCGGTGGACAGTTCTCGATTAGGGTCTTCTGGAAACCTTAGCCAAGCAAGTTCCCAGTTCAGCTCTGAGCCAGAAGAACAAAGCTATTCAGATGCTCAGATCAGGCCTTCTGTTGTTGCTCAGCCTCTTCCAGCCTCAGATGACACCGAAAAAGGGGAAAGAGAGATATTAGCAAATGTGGAGAAAGAAGTACAGGGAGGGAGTGTGCCCAAGCCTGTTGCTAATCAAGGGAGAAAGCCAGAGAGGCAGCACAGGTAAGTGTTGCACATCGAATAGATGTGAATAGAGGATGGGTGAATAAATCTAGAAAAGACTAGGAAAGGGGATACAATCATATGAAACCTAAAAGCTAAGCTAGTATTTAAATAAATGGGAAGTACAATGGTAAAGGTGTATTGTTTGACCTTGATTGATGAACTGTAATCAAACTTTGTAATAATTAAACATTTAAACAATTATATTTATTTAATTTAATTTTTTTTGTTAGAGATAGAGGGTCAAATAAAGGTGATAAATTATATCAGAATCATGTTTTAAACGTTTGTTTCTGATCTGCATTTATGTAAATACAATATCTAAATTTGAGTTTTCTTGCCCTTAAGTTCATGTCTCTTAGCTTTGAGACCATCTATATGCTTATAAGGTGACAAATTATATGTAAATGTATAATATACTCTTCCAGGAAATGAATCAAAAGCGTAGTTACAGCGAGTGATTTCAGCCACATGGTTTTATGTCATTTAATTGTGTTTTTTTCAGTTTCTTTGAGGATGGACCACCTCCTTTCTCTCCTTCCCGCCTGCGCTGGTTGAAGGCCATCAATAAAGTCAGAGTGAAGCTGCATGAGGTAGGAGGGAGAGAACAAAACATCTCTCACCTTTTCAAACAGTTAAAAAATAAATGATTATTGTTTGTTGTCCTCCTCTTCCTCACCCTTTCACTTGCTTGCTCTCTTGATATTTATCTAAACTCAACAATTCCTGGTTCTTTTCCCTTCTGTTGTTTGGTTGATTGAGATTCACATGACAAATTCAAAGTCACAGGCTGCTGTTGGGAATGAAAATCATGACAATCAGTTATTTCTAATGTTTATTCTATTTGAATGGCCTGTATTTATAGGGTAAGATGAAGAAATATGTAGAGTTTTATTTTTGAAAATGACTAGTTTTTGTAATGTACACTGTTTTGTTTGTAAAATAAGTTTAGAATTTTTTACAGCTCTTTGCTGTTGAGTTATCATGTTTGTGTTGTGTATTTGTTTTGTTTTTTTGATGCCTTGTGTGTTTATGTATGTGTGTGTGCTAAGAGAGATTCAGATTGATTGTAAACAGCCACTGAATGTATCTGTCATTGTAAGTGTCTGCTTACTTTCTTAAGCTTTTCCCTGAGTCCTACTCTGGTTGCTTTGGTAATTGAAAAAAATGTGTGCCACCCAGTATGCTCTGTTATTGTTTAGCTGTGGTCTAATTTGAATTTGAGAGTTTTTATTTTTTTATATTGCTTGACGTGCTCTGCTGGAAAGGCTGTAGGGTGCTTGTCGCTGTGACTTAAATCATCCCACAGTACTAGATGATTGTTAATCCTGCAGGGAAGGCTTTTTTAAAATGAAGACGATTAAATGATTCAATACTACTTGAGGTTTTTGGTGCAATGTAAGGACTGTCAGTAGTTCCCTAACCCATTATACAAAATAGGATATTTGAGACACCTTCAAAAGGTCATTTAAAGAATCTCCAATGGGTTCCACCAGTGTGACATTCTGAGAAATGCCTCAATTTTCTCTCTCTCTCTCTCTCTCTCTCTCTCTTTATTAACAAATAACATTGTCAGTGCAGAGGTTGTCATATAGAATTAGCATTGTGTCATAGAGTGGTCTTTAGAGACAAAAGGTGGAGAGGGCAGATTCAGTAGGTATAAGAAGAGAGGAGAAATGGCAGTGACAGAGATGACTCTCTTGGTACATCAAAACATGCTAGCAACTGGAGCCCATCACTGTATTTGTTTATTTTTTTAAACAATAGCAGTGTCACTAGAGAAATCAGATAATGGGAGAGAAATAATAGGTTAAAGAAACAATCAAAATAAATGCCATAAGAAGTGTACAATAAACATGTAAATTCCATACATGCATAAAAATTTGTAGATAATGTAAATGAAAGCCTTTTTCTGCCTCAGAGTAAAAAAAAAAAAGGTTTCAGGGTGCTAGTCAGCACCGATAGCCTTGTGGGCAGCGTGCCGACAATACAGTGAGCGTCCCGAGTTAGAATCCCGACTCGAGGACCTTTCCCGATCCCGCCCCTTCTCTCTCCCCCACTTTGCTTCCTGTCAGCTCTGATCTGTCCTATCATAATAAATGCTAAAAAATTTAAAAAAAAATTAAAAATCAGGGTGCTCGCATGGATTTTTGATTGTAGGATTTTCTTCAAAAGGTATTTTTATTTATTTTTTTCACTTGATCTAACACAAACTAAGTGATAACGTAATTGTACCAAAAAAAAAGTCTTGTTCCTTGGATTCCTCAGATGCTGGAAAACTTCGTATCGCAATGCTTAGATGATCCACCAATCAAAATGATGGTAAAAGCAAAGAAGGATGTTTTTTGTTGATGCTGTTGTTTTTTTATGTTCTCGTTGATATTTGCAATCTGCCTCAGCAGCTGTGTCCTCTGATGCATGCAGCTGCTAGCAGGAGGGACCGTGGTGATGGGTGATTGCTCTGTTGAGACAAAGGCAGTGACAGGGAAAGTGTTGGGCAGAAAATTCATCTCCAAATGATCAGTATTTTTCTGCTGACAGCTTAAACGGTACCTTGAGCACTTAATGGTTGGAGTATTCGTTCAATTTCTTTTTTAATGGATATAAGTGTAGAGGGTTTTCCTTTAGCATGTTATGTGTACTGTATGTTTGCATTATGTTCGTTTTAAGTTAAGTACTAGAGACAAGTGTCAAAAGGAACAAGCAAGACAGACTATGATTATAAATATCTATACATAATCCAAAGTGCTGAATATTTCTTTCGAGAAATAATTTGCCATGGCAACTAAGTGACATTACTATGGAAACACAACCTTGATTGTTGCATGTGGAGCCGCCCTTGGGCGCCTTTTATATGCATATTTCTTGTAGTTTGACTCGATCCAGACAAAACCGTTGATCATACTACATTTCTCTTTTTTAAGGACATTAAGTGCTAGTTCAAATTGCTGTCAGTTGTCTTAAGAATGAGTTGAACCCGTTATTAACAAAGCTTATCCCTAGTGTTTTATTCATGGTAATTTCATCCAAGATTAGGGAAGTGAATTTAAATTTTGCTTTTTAGATAATTTGATATTATGCTGTCATTATGCTATCAACACATTTCCCTAAATTTTCATACTGAATTTATTATGGAAAGTAGGAGTCTATTTATTTTCTTTGAGGTGACCTGGTGGAACAAAAGAGACTGGCAATAAAATTAGCCGGACGTAAGCTTTTATGCTAATTAAAATATCACTGTTGTTGTGGTAACCATTAGTATCCAGCTTTTTAGTTTTAATGCAAAGATTCAAAGCGATGACTTAAAATCACACTGCTTGCAGTGATCAAGTGTTGTCGAGAGTAATGAATGAATAAGTGCACTTATATTTAACAGCTGTAAAGCATGAATGGTGTCCCTAATGCTGCTTAGCATTTTGAATTTGAAAAAACCTATGTGTACACATTTAATAGGTGATTCTGAAGCAAACTGCCATAAACTAATTGCAGGGACAGTCTTGCCGCTGTGGTTAAGGAACTTGTGCAAGGACAAAATAAAACTGTAGTAAATTTTGATTGGCTAATTCTAAATGGCATTGTTGCTCACTTAAACTATGGGAAAGAAATTCTTGAAGGGTTGTTTCACAAGGAGTTAGCAACTGAACTCCCTCATGAATGGCCCTCCCATGAGGCTGTTAGCATAGTGTACATATGGTCATTTAAAGGAAGAAATTTAGATGACCAGATCACATTTTTCCATGTGATCTTGTGTAAGGGAAACAGGTCAATTTAGCGCAAAGGGAATTATTTAATTATGTGTTATAGGGAATTTGGACAGAATCACTGTAACAAGATCGGCAGCTTAAGACATTAACTTGTAAGCACAAAACACAAGATACTTCTCTTTTCAATATAAATAAGACTTTATTGGATAAATCTAAGACAATATAAACTAATCTAACACACAGACATACGCACTCTTACATACACACAAGTTACAGGAAGATAGAAAGTGAGGAAAGGAGTTAAAGAGAGTGAAAATGTGAAATCCCAAGTTTATAGCAATATGTGCAATTGCATAGACCTGAACAACCATCAATCATTTAAGTAACCCTCGCATTGAGTTCCATGTGGCTAAAATTTATATTAAATGCACCAGTTCAGCTAGAATCTGGAGGTACTTGCGTTGCTTGTTTAGGGGGTTCCCTTGTTGTCTTGTTGTCTTCTTTGCAGAAAGGGGTTTCCCAAGTTTGTTGATTGGCTTGGAAGTCCGGTTGTCGTTTGAAGTGACATCTTGGGAAGCCAATGGTTGGGCGTTGGATGAAGATGCGGAGTTGTGGGCTGGTTGAAGTTTTGATGCGTTCACAGTCGGAGTTGGACTCGGAGACACGGCTTTGTGGCAAAACTTAACTCAGAATGTGAAACTCTCAACAGAAAAGAAAAGAAATTAAAGTAGAAGCCAGTAAGAACAGTGACGATACTAGATGGCGTATCTCCTCAAAAGACATACACAATGAATAATTAGGACATGATAGTCAAATGTGTGGGTTACATACATAATATGAAGTTATGCATAGAAATGATCAGTTGCTCATAAGTCCTTTTAGCATCATTTAGGTGCATATATACACGTGAAGGCAGTTTCTGTGCCATTCTGTGAACGTGGGGACAAGTTCTGTGAAGAACAAAGGTCAAAAGGGTTTAGAAGGAATCTCAGTCTGGTTCTTGTCTTCTAGGTGGGGGAAGTCCATCCGAGGACGATTAGCTCGTGATTTCTATCACGGATTTGCATGTGATGGTCATGCTGTGCATCTCTTTGACCATTAAGCTTGGTTACTTGCCCCAAATTTGACAAACTCCTTCCTGAGTTCGAATTATCAATAAGTGTTCTTTTGTTTTAATGCTGTGAGAATGCTCAAAGCTGCTAGTTGGTGGACTTGCTTCAGACTCGTGGCGCAAGGTCAAAAGGGTTTAGAAGGAATCTCAGTCTGTTTCTTGTCTTCTAGGTGGGGGAAGTCCATCCGAGGACGATTAACTCGTGATTTCTATCACGGATTTGCATGTGATGGTCATGCTGTGCATCTCTTTGACCATTAAGCTTGGTTACTTGCCCCAAATTTGACAAACTCCTTCCTGAGTTGGAATTATCAATAAGTGTTGTTTTGTTTTAATGCTGTGAGAATGCTCAAAGCTGCTAGTTGGTGGACTTGCTTCAGACTCGTGGCGCCAGGGTATTGTGGACAGATTTATGACGTTGTCTTGTTATCCTGGGCCTCTTTGTGGAATTTGGCTCTTTGGGTGGTTTTAACACCAATCTGATCGAATCTTAAATTGTCTGATTGACTCTGGTACCCTACACTTGTGTGGCACATTCCTGAGATTAATTTTGAAACCTGAGGTAATTTTATTAGAATAATCTGGGATTTTAAGACCATTTAAACACCACATATTCTTTGTGTATTTACATACTGTTTCTCACAAGCAACACATGACTAGGTTAATATAGGAGCTAATTATAGCTTTTATTGTTTTTTTTTTCACATCACACTTGAGTATAACATTGTGTGAAAAGTAGCAGTCTTTGTTGACTTAAGGCATTTTTGACTTGAACACA